TATATATATATCTCACTCTCTCTCTCTCTCTCTAAAAGCTTCCTCTCTCCTCTCTCCCACCCCCACCAAAGCACAGAAATCAACAGGTTTTCCTCTCTCTCCCTCTCTCTTTCTCTCTTTGTCTCTGCCTCCCCCCCCTTCCACCCATCCCCCGTCCCCACCTGTAGGAAACCACCTTCTCATGTTATGTTGTGCCACCCCCTTCCTCCCCATTTCAGACGAAGCGGAACATACATTATTAATGCCAGGGTGTCCGGTCTCCAGCTCAGAAAAAATGGTCTTAAAATCCCCCCCCCCCCTCACACACACACACACTCACACTCACACCTACCCCCGGCCACCAAGGAGAAAGTAAATCGTCCCGCAAGACTTCTCTAGTAAAAAATCAAATAATAGAGAGTTCAAGTTTGTTTGTTTTTTACTTTAACATTGCAACGCTTCATTTGCTTGAGTAAAGAGAAGCACATCGACACAACAATGGTCATTTAGTGCTTCGAAAAGGTAAGACGGACAGACAGAAACTATAGAGGGGAAAGTAGAGAAGTAGAATGTACCATGAACCAGTGGAGCCCTCCAACCACCCACAACATGACAATGCAAACTATGGCATCCTCTAACACAAGACGAAAATGAAGCTTTTACATCTCAAAATGTGGCAAACTCTTCTCTGCTAGAACTGGTCTCACTGAAGCCACAAATCATCTTAATCCTTATTTCTTTTATTTCCCTTTAATTTTCCCAGCAGATACATTGATCATCCTCAGACACTCGGACGAGCCATTGTTATCATTACGATGACATGGACGTGTAAAGTGTGAATATGAGAATTAAAGAATTACATTTACTGATGTTCATAGCTGGATACACATTTTAAAAAACTCGTGTAAAGTGCCTTTACCAGAATTCGAACCATAACCTTACGGTTGAGATCCCAAGAACCTAACTACAGTAGTAGACCATTGAGAATCCCGGTGCCCCATGTTCCTCATGACCTCTGACCTTTTGAGCTGTGTTCCCCTGTCCCCTGACCCTGTGCAGGTGTGTTCCCATGGCTTCTGGCCGTGTACAGGTGTGCTCTCTTGGCCTCTGACCTTATATAGGTGTGTTCGTCTGACTTCTGACCTTGTGCTGGTGTGCCTCCCTGACCTCTGACCTTTTGATAGATGTGTGTTCCCCTGACCTCCTACCTTGTGCAAGTTCCCGAGCAGCCAGTGAAGGTCATTGTCCCCCGGCAGCTGGCTGTATGTCCGTCTGTGCTCCAGGAAGTGACGTAGGTACTTGACCACCAGCACACAGGTGACAGCGACAAGGACATAGAGGGTCAACATCTCTGCACTGTCACACCAACGTCTGAGCTACAACCTTGTCCAGATCTTTAGCACGGCCACCTGAAAGAGTTCAATAAAAGAACAAATGTTTATAGACATTGGAATGTTATACTCAGAACATACACACACAATCTCTCTCTCTCTCTCTCTCTCTCTCTCTCTCTCTCTCTCTCTCTCTCTCTTGACAAAATCACACAGATCACAAGGTTCCTTAAGAAATTACCTTTTTCCCCCAAAACAAGCGTGTGACGACAAGTGTCGGATACCCTCGCCTGGAGCTGTACCGCCCACCGCCCACTGCCAGACGGAGACGTACTGTCCTGGCGTCCCCGGACACGGGGTCTCTGTGCTGGTGCCACGCACCTCGCGACAAAATAACCTCCTGGCTTGCGCTAACAACCGGGGGCATATCACTATAACATTATTATATATACATACCAGTGTGTTCTCCGCGGTTCAAAGCAGGAGACACATAAAGTATAATGCGATTTCGTCGGCTGAGAGCGGTGGCACTACCTCACGGTATGACGGTGGCGTGGTTGCAACAACAGCTTTGAGATAGAAGGCATCCTGGCACAAACTGATTGCCCGACTCGCAGTCTAAAAACGAACGCGTTTGTTTTCAGGCCTGTATTAGACTTAGACCAAGGACCTTAGAACCTGCATACCCTCCTTCGCTCAAACTTACACTAAGTCTTACAGCTAGGACCAGGTGTTACCTAAAATCTGGCCGCTTTGGTTGATTGTCGAGCGTCTATCGCCGGCTTACTGAACTTGTTGATCCCAGCGAGGGATTTCACAAACGCCACGCACCATACACGGCAGACCTCGCCTAACACGGTCATGTATTTTCTGGATATAACGGGGTCCTTTGGTTTTGTAGGGTCGAAGCAACATATCATGAGACCGGTGTGCGAACTAATTATTATCCACCACTGTAATGCTATTTGAACGGGACTGTTTTGTGCCCGTGAGATCGCTCTATGTCCCAGCCACAGTGTGTGTCAACAGCATACTTAGCAGCTCAACTTCAGGCAGTTTCATTACATCCCAGCTGTCACTGAGATCATTACAGGCTTTTTTTTAAGATTGCCTGGGAGCTATGCAAATAAAATTTAAACGTAATGCCTTTTTCTCTCGATTTGACAAAAGCAGTTCGTGTGACTTGCCACCACAGAACACCGACACAAATGAACATTATCTTGTTGTTGTTGTTGTTGTTGGAGAACGTGAGGCTGGATGTGTATTTGAATTTTTAAATGGGAAAAAGGCATGTGGCACAGAACGTGTGAAAACAAAATTCAAAAAATGTGTTTAGCACAACTTTGTTTTATTTACACCTTTAGAATTATTAGCCAGTTGTTTGGCTACACGTCGCATATTCTGACACATATTCCTACTGTTTGGAAATGTTCAGAAATCGTCCCTCGTCCAAAGAAATAAAATGTAACAGAAATGAATTACCTAAGACCAATAGCCTTATTGTTTGTTTAGTATAGGGTTTTACGGCGCTCGCAACTGCATAAGGTCATATGAGCGCGCGGGACACACCAAACATTTTTTCGTTGGTAGGAAATTTTGAATTTTGCCCGGGTGGCGGCCGAAGCCTACTCTTATCGATTTTAGACCACCAAGGGATCTTTAACGTGCACAACTTGCACACGGGCCCTCCGAGATTTTTCGCCCTTGTCCGAGAAGGCTAGGTGTAGATCTTTCCTACCAGAAGATCAGGGGTGTGGCAGAAAGACAGCAGTTAGGAGGAGCCAAGGAGTAGCAGTAGAAAGGCTGCAGAAAGAGTCAGGAGCCCAGAGGAGGGGGCAAAGGAGGTGAGGGGGAGGGGGCAGAAAGTGGAAATGAAAGCAGACAACAGAACATTGTTAGAGATCAGGAAAGGATGTGAAAGGAGACAATTTTAGAGAAGAAAATATTTTGGTCGCTACCCGGAATCGAACCCGGGACCTTTGAATGAGAGGCCAACACCTTAACCTCTAGGCCACGAGAGCCCCTCCAATAGCCTTAACTTCTATCGTTATAAAATGTCTAGAAAAATAAATGTGTTAAAACACTGAGCCTATCCAGGACCCCCTACAATTCGCACATTATCGTCATGGGAGATGTGTGGAAGACGCCATTCTACTATTTCTTGACAACATCTAAAGACACTTAGACAAACCAAAAACATTCTGTAGGATCTTGTTTGCTGATTTTTTTTCAGCCTTTAATACTATCCAGCCAACTATCCAGAAAACACAGGTACTAAGTTTTAAAGTCAATTTAACATCATGGATAGGGAATTTTCTGACGACCGAACGCTCTCTAACCGTACAAAAAGTTCCACTGATACACGCCTCCGATCAACCTGCAACAATTACCATTGCATCTGCCACATTAAAACCAAAGAAAGGCTCGCGCTACCCACGTCGCTCAGAAATAAGCCCAAATACATCGTTTTCCTCTGTGCCTTTGAGCCACTTGAGATTTTAACACGCTTGCCGTCTAGGACAGCAAATCTGAAACGTTACCTTGTCGATACAGAAACAGAGGGATCACTATATCCCGCTTCTGCACATGATCGGAGAAATGGACAATCTTCTACCCCACTCTCCGCAGCTAACGGGGCTTCATCCACGCATGGGGAGAGCGCAAAGATGTTAGCGTGTGTACAGTTTGTTGTAAGGTCTCTGTGAAGTGCAACATTTCGCAGACGACAGACACCGGGAGATGTTATACCACGGGTTTATCTTGCTGACATCACTCCACCCGACCGGCGGCTGTGGTGTAGCGAGTAGGCAATTCACCGTCACAGGCAGGAAACCCGAGGTCGATTTCCGATTGGGGAGAAATTTAATCGAGTATCCCGGTCTTTCTGCTGGGATGTTTCGTCTCTTTCAGCTCAGGTTGGCCCTGACAGGCAGAGTCGAAGCCCGCCTCTTAAATGATCTAAATTTTGTTGATGGGGCGTAAACCACACCCATTTAAAAAATCATTCCACCCATCTTAGGTTCAGACTTTTTCACAGCCCATAACTTTGCCATTGACCTCCGTAGCAACGTCTATTGTCTTTAGACGACATTCCCATTCTTCTCAAGAAACCAAAGCTCCAACAGGTTCAACAAATGTCAACAAACGTGGAGTTTAGCACCACACTGTCACTAATGACCCACCAGTAAACTCTGTCAACAAGTATAGTGTTGAGCACCACATTGTAATACATGGACCACCGGTTTAACTAGCGTGGAGTTAAGGACTTCATTGTCACTAATGGCCCTCCAGTTCGACAACTCTGTCAACATGCATTATGTTGAACACCACATTGTCAGCAAATGGCTCACCAGTCGTGCCCGCGTCCGACATTTGTACCATGAAAACCTCGCAGCCGCCAAAGCTGAATTTTTAAACGTGGAAGAGATTGGCATTACCCGTCGGTCTGACTCACTTTGGTCTTCACCCCTGTATGTAGCTCCGAACTTAGACGGACAGTGTCGACCCTGCGGGGAATACAGACTCCTCAACACTGCTACCAAGGATGACCGATATCCCTGACCTCATAGACAATATTCCAACCATCATCTGTCCGAATGGGCCATCATCTCCCTACTCTATCCAAGAAGTGCCGCCACACACGACAGTACAACAGTCACACACGACAGTACAACAGTCACACACGACAGTACACGTACAACAGTCACACAGATCTGTCGGCAGAAAGCTTCTCACTGTTTTATGCCACGCTGTCAGAACCACAGTGAGGACCTAAACCAGGTCAAGAGATCTGCTCCCTACGGGGATGCCGGTTGCCTTTTGTGCAAGTCTCTTGACGTAACCTCAATAATATATTATATGACCTCACTCGTCATTGCCAGACATAACCACCAAAAATATATGTGACCTCTCCAGTCATAGCCAGACGAAAGTTGCAATGGGACATGCTGAGCTACGAGGCCATAAAGGGAAGAAACTGGCCTCCAGTGGATTTGTTGTTTTTCTTTTCTCATGAAAGTTTGATGATTCTTTAAATGTCATTTCAGAAGAACAAAAATAAAAGCTTTACTTCACTATCATTACTGTGCGTTTTATTCTGATTTATTTCTGAGGTGTGTTTAGTTTGACATAACATTTCGCTCAATTTCTGCACCTACTGTCTCATTATCATGATTCCACACCTTACAGGAGTAAAGTTTCCTTACTATCGTCAGATTTAATCTCCTATTTACTTCACTGGTTTTTTAATTGTAGGGAAAGGTTAAAAAAAAACACCTCAATTTGTGAAATATCCGACTAGTGTCTGAGTTTGATTGGCTCTTTCGCATATTGTCGTGCTTTGTGCGCACACCTGAGGAAAGGAGGGGGTGCGGGGCTACAGAGAGAAAGGCCGTTGAACGTGGGTACCTGTGAGAGGTAAGAGAGAGAGAGTGTGTGTGTGGGGGGGGTGTGGGGGGTGTTTCTGGGTGGTGCTTGGACGTGTGTATGCGAGCGTGTGTGTGTGAAAGAGAGAATGGGCGAAAGAAAGGGGGGGGGGGAGAGAGAGAGAGAGAGAGAGAGAGAGAGAGAGAGAGAGTGAGAGAGAGAGAGAGAGACAGAGAGAGACAGAGAGAGAGAGGGGGGAGTAGGGTAGAGAGGGAAACGATGGGAGAGGGGTTGTGGTAATGGGGGGGGAGGAGGGATGGTGTGAATTATAAGTTCATTGACAGTCTCTGTCTAAGTGTGTATATTATTATAATAGACTAAAGAACGTCACAAGCTACTTGCGCCAATGAATGGCTGTTGACACCTTCGTTACAACGACAACGAAATCATGAATACCACCATTACAACCTAATGCTAATAGCGCGCGGAACTTTCAGAACGCATTATCGATAGCTCATGAAAGGTCCTCACCACCATCGTCAGATTTTGCCGCTGATGAAGCAAATTCTGAGGTAACGTGATTTAACTGATTGTGCAGAGAGCTGTTGGGCTGCCATCTACTCGTCAGCGAGGAAATGTTGGTACGGTTTGAAATGGGTCATCCTGAATTTACATAATCAAAGTGTGTGTGAGTGTGTTTGTGTGTATACGTGTGTTTGTGAGTGCGCGCGCGCGTGTGTATGTGAGAGTGTTTGTTTGTTTTGTTTTTGTAAGTGTTTTATGGTCATCCTGAATTTACATAATCAAAGTGTATGTGAGTGTGTTTGTGTGTATACGTGTGTTTGTGAGTGCGCGCGCGCGTGTGTATGTGAGAGTGTTTGTTTGTTTTGTTTTTGTAAGTGTTTTACGGCGCTCGCAACTGCATAAGGTCATATATCATCATCATCATCAACATCTTCATCATTACTACATGTATTATCAACATTACTTTTTATAAATCAATTACAGTGGAGTCCGCCTTAAGTGAACACGTTTTATTTGAACAATCGGTTAGCGTGAACGATATTCTGTGGTCCCGATTGAAACTATTAGTTTAAGTTTAAAACATAGGGGATAAAACGAACCGGTTTCATGGGGAAATTGGATAAAGTGAACGCCCAAAACGAGTGAAAGCGAAGAAGGGACCGACTGTGTCACTGTGGCCATGTTGTGAAAATAAAATTCTTTGCCTCGGGTATCGGCAGACAATCCCAGCTCGGCGTTGGCGACGGCAAATCCCAGTCAGAAAGAAAGAGCTCTTGCCTGGGCTCGCCCGCTGTGTTGTCCCCTCACCCCACCTCCACCCTAGACGCACCACTGCGCGTTGCTAGTTTCTAGGCCTCCACCCGACCAAAGTGGTTAAACTGAACCTCGGATAAAGTGAACAGTTTCTTCTGGTCCCAAAGAGTTCACTTTAATCGGACTCCACTGTATATTCTTTTTTTTCTTTTTTTTCTTTTCTTTCCTTTCTTTTCTTTCCTTTCTTTTTGTTCTTTTTTTAATAGGGGAGTATGCTGTTTGGATTAAGCAGTGGCGCCCACAAACCACCTGTAGGCTATTTCGTCTCTTCTGATAGCCAGACGTCAGTTTGTGTTGTAGTAGGGTGAACAGAGGAAACTGGTTTAACGTGTGTAACTGCGTGTTTTACGCCCTAACCAACTCAGTTTAGATGATTTAGGAACCCGAGAGGAGACTATGGCAAAATGCCTGTTCTAAAAGGACACACACACACACACACGCACACACACACACACACACACACACACACACACACACACACACACACACACACTCTCTCACACATCCTCTCTGCCACACACATCAGTACACAAACACACAGAATCTAGTATCAGTAGCATGGTAAGTCATATGTTTTTCATCTTTGACTTCAAACACCTGACCGACCCACAGAGACACTTTGATCTAAAATACTGATTTTTTTGCTCCAACTCTGGCTCTGGGAAATTTGATTACATATTTGTTAAATGTAGGTGTATTACACCCTCATCGACACAATTTAGGTCATATAAGTCGGGATTCAATCCTGCCTTTCAGGGCCAACCCGGGCTGAGTGGGATAAAACATCCTAACAGAAAGACAGAAACTCAATAAAAATTCTCCCCAGTAGGGAATTGAACTCAGGTCTCAGGTGTCGCTGGTATTTGCATCATTGATCAGCACACCAACAGAGGCTATACAAAATGATTCATTTCAATATCCTGGTTATATTTCAACATAAATCAACATTACAAAGGCACACAGAAGATAAACAGAAACATTACACGTCAAAAATCCTAAACCTTGACTAAGTACATCTTGAATAGATATTCTGAAATAAAATGTTCAGAAAATTTGATGAAAAAAAGAAAACATTTCCATCCTTCCAAAATCCGTTAAAAATTGTTTAGGTTTTCGACAATGTTCTGCTTCATTATATTCCTAACAAGTAAATCAACCAATCGCATGCATTGTATCCCTGCAGAGTTATGCCAGCATCAGCCTCAACTGTTTCCAATTGCACAATTTTCTGTCTGTAAAGCTGTTTATTGAACCTGTCAACAACATGCAACTACAGTCTAGCCCACAAATAGTAAATTCCGTGGGACGTAGAAATCTCTTCGTTATGTAGGAACTATGTACATGTTTAAATACAAAGAATATACATGTGTTATAGATCTATATATTTAAGAAAATAATTCAGGACTTGAGAATCTGTTTGCTATGAGTGTGTTTCGCCATGAGAGTGTTCTGTGCGTGTTCTATGTGTGTGTTTTGCTATGTGATTGTTCTATGAGCATGTTTCACTATGAGTATGTGTGTGTTTCAATATGTGCTTGTTTTGCTATGTGTGTATTTCATGAATTATGTTTTGTTATGAGCGTGTTTTGTTATGAGCATGTTTTGCTAAGTGTGAGTTCGCTTTCTGCAAGTGTGCTTCTGTCTGGATGGACAAGTCTTTTAGTTTGAGTTTAATGGCACTTGTAACACAAACAGATCATTAAAGTGCCAAAGATTAGAGGTGTTACTAAAAAGTAACATACAAAGAAAAGAAAGAGGAGAGCTAACGACAATAAATATCAGAGACTGCTTGCGACAACGATGAAATACTTTCACACACAAACACCAGCAGCAAGTGGCCCACATCCACACATCACAGGGTCACAGAGTTGACAGAGTCAGAAAAAAACATACAAGGGCTTATATATATACAGTCAAAACTGTTCAAGACAGCTATCTATTTTCCATGAGAAAAGTAGTGCTTTGTACAGGTGGTTGTCGTAGGTGGCCTTTAGAGACGGTTCAGCTGTGATATATACACATAAAAATGTAATCTTCATGTGACAACCGTAATTTCTCCATTGAACGTAACTGACTCAATCAGTTCTGGGTGTTGCATACATGTAAGCTCCCTCCGACGCCTTCATTGTAACACTAGTCTTATGTTCAATCACACGGTCTGCATCAGGGCGGAGTTGGAAGCTGAAAGACAAAAGCAATTTAAATCATGAAAACAAAGGATGATGTTATATGCCCACATTAATTATTCTAAAATACTCGATGTATCTTGATTTGAACAGTGGTAACAAAGAAATATCATGTATTTCTTGAAAGTTATAGCATCTACAATGACATTTATCATCGCCATCATTCAATATTGTCATGTAGTTTTTATTAGAGTTTTACAGCACTTGCAACACAGTAAGGTCATATAAGTGCCGAAGAATAGATTATGTGTTACAAGAGAGGAATATACACAAAAAAGAAGGAGGGGAGATGAGGACTACAGATGTTTGATAGGAAAGAAGGAGCAAACCACACCAGAGCACCCACCAACCACCAACATATTGTCATGTAGTGAGTCAAAATTTTTGCAAAAAATGATAATCAAGTATGAGGTAGAGTTTCATGAGCTGAATCAATTGTTCCCTCTCATTTCTCCCCTTAAAATAATAACAGATTTAGATGAATACATGTACAGTCAAACCTGTGTAAGACAGAATCGCAAGGGAGCCAGAAAAAAATTCCATCTTAGACAGGGGAATTTAGGGGGAGATGAAGGTTAGGGGGGGGGGGGGGGAGTTCAAAGGCCCAGCCGGTGGGATCAAGGATTACTTGTCCAATTGTCCAATCGGCAAGCAATGGTCAAAATTTCACACCTCTCAATTGCTATCCCGTCTGATAATGACATGCGTCAGTCTTACTTATCCAATTACAAGCAGTGCTTGCTTTCATATAGGACAACTGCTTGACCAATTAAAAACAGAAACATTTGAACATCTCCTTTGCTTCCACCTTTTGCCCCATCCACCAATGCCACCCCTCATTGCCATCATTCTATCAAACGATTCAAGGAACTCTTTTTCTCGTCTGGCCATACGATCAGGGCGACAGGCATTGGTCAACCAAATTTCACACCTCTGGCTTCTGGCTGCCCAGGAAAGTTTCCGTAGTGGCTCGCTACTTGAGCACTCTCACGGGCAGTTGTGAGATTTCACACCCACACTACACTGACCATCTGCATCACTCAGGGCTCACATGACGGGGTAACATCTACCCCCAAACTGCACCCCTACTCCTCTTCCTCGCCCAGCAGCATGGCCATAGCCCTAAGATTAGAGCCGGCGGAACCAAACTTTCGAGTTTTGTTTCAAATCAGGGCTGGGCGGGCAAAACATTTTCCTTCTTAGACAGGGGAAACCCTCGGAAGGGAGCGGATTTTTCTTTCCGTTTCCGCGTTTTTCCGTCTTATACAGGTAATTAAAGAGGAATATATCAAGGGGGGAGCGGGGAGATTCCGTTAAGACAGGTTTCCGTTTTACACAGGTTTCCGTTATGGAAGGTTCGACTATACAACATTTTGAATTAAGACAGTGTTCTGCCCAAAATAAAAGTTTTTTGCTTTTGCTGTAAACCTCACATTTTGAAATACAACAATGTGCAACAATGATGAATGGCGACAACGATGTGTGGTGAGTGTGCAGAACGCATGAGGAAACATCTATTTATATGACAGACAGTGGAAGATTTACAACCAGCGGTGTCTCAACTCCTCATAGTATAGACGGGAAGTTTGTGCTGCTGCATACTTGGAGGACAAAATGTGGCTGGGTACAAAGGAGGAAGAACGTGCAGTACAGAGACACTTTTTTAAATTGTCTGACACTTTGGTGGAGGTGACGACTGTCTGTCCCTGTCTGTCCGTGTCTGTCCCTGTCTGCCTGTGTCTGTCCGTGTCTGTGTCTGTCTGTCCGTGTCAGTCTGTGTTTGTCCCTGTCTGTATGTGTCTGTTGGTGTCTGTCCCTGTCTATCTGTCCATCCCTGTCTCTGTCTGTCCGTGTATGTCCCTGTCTGTCCACATCTGATGAAGAAATCCTCCTCCAGATGTTTACATGCACTAAGCCCAATCTTTGAATTTTTTGAAAATTGCAGGCTCTTAATCTGTGGTATTGGTTGCATGTGCTTAAGATATACTTTGTCAACATTCAAATTCTAAATGTTGAACTTTACTTTCTCAATCCAGACTCGAAAGTTGAAAAAGCAAGAAAAAGTAAAAAACACAGAAAAGAAGCATGAGAGACCAAGAGACACCAGAACACCCTACAGCCACCCATACAGTGCGTGGAATCTGAAGAAACAAGCTCACCTGGAGTTCTTTAAATGACACAGTGAGAGAACATGACACAACTTTAATACAGGGAGACAAAATGACACAACTTCAACACAGGGAGACAATATGACACAACTTTAACACAGGGAGACAACCTGACACAACTTTAACTGACATAGTGAGAGAACATGACACAACTTTAACTAACACAGGGAGACAGCATGACACAACATCAACTGCTGACATAGTGAGAGAACATGACACAACTTTAACTGACACAGTGAGAGAACATGGCACAACTTTAACTGACACAGTGAGAGAACATGACACAACTTTAACTGACACAACAAACGGACATGCCATAACAAAGGGAGAGATCAAAATCTAATGACTTACTCATTGATGATCTTGGCGACTGTGACTTTCATCTCATTCATGGCAAAGTTTTGCCCGATACAGTTCCTGCAACAGTTTACAAAAGTCAGCAGTGTCAGCCATTACAATTCTTCTATTTCGTGATCACAATTGTTCTATTTAGCCATCACAATTCTTCCATTTTGCCATCACAATTCTTCTGTTTCAATCATCTCATTGTGCATGTACGGTACCTCAAACTTTCTGTGAGGCATGCTGACAAATGAGTTACTTCTAA